GGTATTCATGTAGTTTCTCAGGTGTTCTTTGTTGTGGAAGTGTCTTATTTCCCCCTCCATTTTGAAAGAGAGTTTTGCAGGATACATCAGTCTAGGTTGGAGGTTGTTCTCTTTTAGTACTTGAAATATCTCATTCCAGGCTCTCCTTGCCCCAAGGGTTTGTATTGAAAAGTCTGCTGTGATTCTGACTGGCTTTCCCTTGTATGTGATTTGTTTCTTTCTCTTACCGCTTGTAGTATTTTGTTCTTCTGTTGGGTTTCTGGGATCTTGATTATTATATGTCTAGGTGTAGATTTTTTTTGATTGTAGCTAGTTGGGGTCCTATATGCCTCAGTTATCAGAATGTCAAATTCTTCCCCTCTGTTTGGGAAGTTTTCTGTCATTAATTCTGCAAACAGCTTTTTTAAGTCATTTGTATTTTCTCCTGCTACTTCATGGATTCCTATCAGTCTTATGTTATTCTTCTTTGCATCATCTAGGAGTTGTTGGATCGATTTCTCATGATCTCTTAATGTTTTTAAGAGACCTCTCTTTTCATGTTCACTGACTGCAATCTTATCTTCTACATCTGAGAGCCTATCTTCGCATTCTTTTATTCTGTTGCGTACACTTTCAATAGAGTGTTTAATCTCCTGGATCTCTGTTTGAATCTGTTTTATGGATTCCATTTCTTTCCTATGTTGGGCGTTTATTTTTTTCCATTTCTTTCTTATGCTGGGCCTTCATGGCTTCTATCATGGTCCTGAGCTCATCTATTTTTTTGTCAGTTTCTGCTCTAGAATCTCGAGTCACGAATTGCATTTTGCTCACTATCTCTATGGTTATCTGGGAAATTATTTCTGTTTTGAATTTTTGTAGAGCCTGATTGATCTGTTTTATTACTTCCTGTGCTTTGAGTTCAGGGTGTCCTGTGGTTCACTAGTGGCCTTTTCATCCTCATTTGCCCTACTGTTTGCCATTGGTGAACTGGAAGTCTGTCCTTGTGTCTTGCTTAAGTGTTCTCTCATTTTAATTTTGGTTGTCAGACTGTCCTTGGTTTAATCTCGGATTATCACCCAAATCTTCCTGATATAGTTGCACCCTAGCTTCTGTGTCTCTAACGACCCACAGACATTCTCATCTTCATAACATCAGAGAAAACAGCTCATCAAATCAACAGCAATGCTTTACCCCTACTGATACAATCAGCAACACATTAAGATCGAGCACAACTTGGACACTGACCACCTGTGGTAGTCACTAGTCTATCCCCCTTAAATCATTTGAATTAAATTGAAATCAAGAAGCAGTCCAGAATATGTCTGCAGTGAACAAACTTTTCAATATAGTATATTTACCATTTAATGGCTCAGACAGAGCGAGGATGCAAGACCCCTGATCTCAGTTAGGTGATTGCTGAAACCCATGATGCTGACTGACCTCGGGCTGCAAGGCCCAGATTGAGTTCCCCATCCTTCTGAATGGTTGAACTCCGCAATGTTCTATTACAGGTTTCCCATGCCCTTTCTTTAAAGTTGTTCAAAGTTGGGAACTCAGAAAAATACCCTTGATGACCACCTCTGTCTTTGAAGAGTGGGTCCAAAGACTTGCACAGTCAGGAAGTCTGAGAGTGCGTTGGGGGGATTATGGGGGTTCAGGGGCGCCCACGCGGCTACCTTCCCGGTGCTTGAGCGATGACTGCTGGGTCGGTAGCAGGCGTGGTTCTCCTTCCCGCGGTGGATCGGCCCGGCCTACCTCCTGGCACTTGAGCGATGGCTGCTGGGTCGGGAGCAGGCGTGGTTCTCCTCTCAATTCTAATCAGATGTAGAGAGCTTGAACTTTGCTGGATATTGTTGATAATTTGGGGCTTTCTATGTTGAAAATACAGCTGTATATTTTCTTTACCTGTAGCGATATGGCAAGATAGGCTGTTAGCCCTTTTCTGTTACAATGGAATTCTTCATTAGCACGTTATTCCACCGTGTGTCATGTCTCACTGATTGCAAAAAACGTTATATTGATATGGATGTGATTTTCCCCTTGTGCCTTTCAGGATTCACAGGTATTGATTCTGATTATGAGAAGCCCGAAACTCCTGAGTGTGTGCTGAAAACCAATTTGACTTCCGTGAGTGACTGTGTCCAGCAGGTGGTGGAACTTCTGCAAGAGCAGGTAGGTGGACTGGTTGTCTCCCTTTTCTGTAGTTTAATAAAGTCGTAAAAACATAATCTATGCTTCTTGACTTAAAGCAACTTTTTTTTTTTTGGTTTCCATTTGAAATTGTTGCTATTTCTGTTTAATTTCAGAACATCGTACCCCATACAGTAATCAAAGGGATCCACGAACTTTTTGTGCCAGAGAACAAACTTGATCAAGTTCGAGCTGAGGCCGAGTCACTTCCTTCATTGTCAATTACCAAGGTAAAGGGGTAAATACCAGACCAAATCTGCGATTACAATGCATTACAGTTATATTAAGAAAGGTATGAATAAAGGCCATGTAATGTTTATGAAGAGAAAAACGCTTCAGTTTTGCCAATACATTTCTCCTCCTCCAGCACATCTCTCAGCACAAGTTCCATGTGGGGTCGGGAGGCAGACTGGGAGAGTAAAATCTGTATTTGCCTGGGACAGTTTCACACGTAGCTGTTTTACATCAATTATGCTGAAGTGTGACCAATAATTATTTTCTGGCAGTGACTGAGGAAATAGTGTCCAAAACTTGAGTACTTCCTGAGCAATCAGGTTGAAGAAGAAAGGGCATCCCTGTTCTAAAGTGGTACAAATACCACCATCTTTGCTTCTCTGCAAATTGCTCTCTTTCTTTATCAACAAGAATACAGGGCTGGGAACTTAGTTCAGTGGTTCTGCCACCTGTCTCATAAGCACAAGGACCTAAGTTTGATCCCCAGTACCAAAAAAAAAAAAAAAAAAAAAAAAAAAAACCC